CTCCATGCCTCCTCCTGTACAAAGGAAGAGTACACGTCTCCATTATGTGAGGAGGCAGGATATGATTGCACTTCTATTCCTGCTCTGACGAAGGCCACACGATGGCAACACAGACTGCCTCTTTTCCAACTTGGATGGACTGCCTTCTGTGGGAGTGATTTTGTGGAAGGAAAGGATGCCCTGCTTCGCCCTGTATAGCAGATGTGATATTGTGTGGGTCATATCCACCCCAAGGGCCAAATGTTTGCCTCCCCTGCCTTAAAATGCCATTCTCCCCAAACTCAATGCAAGACCTCAAACCTCAAGTTAGCAACAACAGCTGTCATACATTTTAGGAATATCAGGGTTTGGAGGGGGCTTTCACTATTCTGAAGGGACAACTGAGATTACACTTCAACAATTTCATTGGAGCTTAAAAGAAAGTTAGCAAAGATCCATCTGTGGCTCACCCCACCTCCTTTAGAGGTTGGCTACCCAGCTGATGTTTCACTTCCCATAATTTAAACATTATGTAAGAGGAAATGCCTCTAGCTAGTGACACACTGTTCCAAGAATAAATGGAATGCCTCATCTAATCAGACACAAGGGGGGAAAACCCAAGGGAGCAATCATACAAGATGACTGGGGAGATGCCTCCCTGGAGGAAGCTAATCAGGAGCAAAAGAAGCTACACAGGGGAGAGAACATTTCCTAGAAAACTAGGGGGACCCGCAAGCCGAGGCCACCCATACCTGTCCGGGGAGACAGAAATATTCATAATCAGCTTGTGCATCTTTTGCATACTTCTCAGGCCAGAAACGATGGAGCCCACCCAAAACACACCCCTCCACCAGAAAAGGCACAGAAAGAGGAGCAGTGCTACGAAAGGCAACCTCCTGTCCTTCAGGCTCACCAGCCTCAACCAGAGTGGTCCAGAGGCTGGAAAGGATGGCTCCATCCTTCTTTTTTCTCTTCCTTAAAAATGCAACAGTCCAGCAGGCCTAAACCCAGCACTTCCTAGTAGTAGGGAAGGAGAAACAAGCGGGGATAAAATCGCTGAAAAACCACTGCCAATTACAGTGGGCAAGAATGGGTTTGATCCAGACCATTTCTCTTGGATGAGCATTCCCAGTCCAGATGCCCTTCAGAGGCGCCCTGGGCACTTCTGGCCAGGGTGGCTCAAGACCCACTGCCAGGGTTTCCCAGTGGAAAAGGCCAGAAAGGGAACAGCTGTAGAGAAAGAGAGGAGCTGCTCTTCCAACATGGGAGATCTGGACTGCCCAGCCCTCCAAGGCACTGCTGGCTGGATGCTAACCACGAAATGGAGTATTCTCCCGACTCCCAAGTTAACCCAGTTTGCTGCTGCAAGCATTCGAAGTCCTGCCCATTGCAGAGCCAGTACAAGGAGAGCCCAAGATCCTCACAATCTACTTTGACACAGAAAAGGAGCAGTAGCACAATACTGTACTACAAACACAAAGGGGAGAAACCAGTTCACAATTAAGGAAGATAATGATATAGTTGTCTTTAAATTAAGCACAGGAAATATCCCAACCATTTTGTATACAGCATGGAATTCTCTCTTGGAAGATCTTGTTCTTTTTCCTGTTACCAATTCTCTTTTAATTAAAAAAAAGTTGCATTTACAATGAAAAAGCTAATAAGGGAAAATACCTGACCTGTGAAGGTATAGCTATACAACTCAGCACTGGAAATCATTCTATTTATTCATATAATCATATAATATTATAAACATAATAATGATTATTAAATTAGTATATATTATAATGTTATTTGTTAAATACGTAAATGAGATATGCCTCCATCCAAGCTGATTCTCTCTAATGTCAGTCTTTACAAATGGCACCCTCAGACCTTCTGGGGCAGCCCTCTCTCCTGTCCTTCCCTGCCTGCTAAAAGCCTTTTTAGATCTGTTTCCTCACCTTAAGTAAAAAATACGCCTCAAGTAAAACAAAAAAAAACAAAAAAACTTGTTCTACAGACTAGGACCTGAAAAGCCCTGAATGCCAACAGGTAAAGGCCTCCCCAGCCAGAGGAAAAGAGCTCATTGGACCTTGATCCTCAAAGCAAAACACAAGCTGCTGCGCCCAGGGCAAAAGTGATTCACTTCCGACTGGATGGAAGCCAAGGGGAAAAAACACAATCATTACGTTTCTTTTTCCCCTAAAGAACCTGTATCAATAGCAACAGGTCCAAAGTAGGACATCCCCCAGCTAGAAGGCCACTGGCAGCATTTACTCCACCAACGTTCATACTTCCTTGCTAAATGAACCACAGTACCAGGCAGATTCCCAAGTATCCAGGAATATCAGTGAAAAGACCAGTTCTGCACTGGGAGCTGACAAGATCTTCTTATACACCTTCTCCTTGTTTAGCGACTGCAATCCAGTCCTTAAATCGGAAGCAAAATGGTTGCCAAGCAAACACATGAGAGAGAGAGAGAGAGACAGACAGACAGACAGACAGACAGACACTGACTGACTGACTGTAAAGATTGCTGGTTGCTGCCATCTCATTTAAATAAAGTTCTCTTATGCAGCAATACCAGTGTTAACTCTCACTCTGGTGTATATT